GTGTATCATTAGTTGTACTAATCATTCTTTAAGAATGATGTTCAATTTTCATAGACTCAGAAGTCTTAGACTTTCAGTCACTTGATGTAGCAAGAAGAGTAAAACAGGCGTTGAAGGTAATAACCTGGGAACTTCAGATGACCCTCACTCAGGGAGACTGCTGAAACCTCCCTTCTGATGTTGGCAGACTCCTGACCATCTATGGCAGGCAAGGAGGGCATGTATAGTACAGACCTAAAGTGGCCTCAGGTGTTTCACAGGTTGGGAAGGTAATTGGATCATGGGGCGTAGCACCTATTCACCACTGTGAGGTAGGGTCTGGTCCAAAGAGGTGTCTTACTGGGTGTATCAGTCAGGGTTTTACTAGAGAAACAGATATAACACAAGATATACAAATATATAAGAAATTACAAGATTGGCTTATGATGGTCAGCCATGGACTTGGATGAGGAAGCGTGCAGAGGGCATCTGCACACCGGAGACCGAAGGATTCAGTCCAACATCTGGAGCTCACTGCAGCGTTCCGTGCAAGTCAGGATCAGGAGGCCGATGGGTCTGCAATGGAAGGCTGATGAGTCTATACCAGAAGGCTGAAGGATCCAAGGCAGAAGCCAAGAGTCTGCACTAGAAGCCAGGAGAGGATGTCCAAGCTGAGGTCAAGACTGGAGCTCCTCCAAAGAATGGAAGCCCTGTGTCCTTCCTGGTTTCCCTTTTATATCATCTAGGGGATGATGACCCTAGGGTGGGTCCACTGTACCCTAAGGTGCAGAGTTGCTGAGCCAGTTGCTGAGCTAAGTTTAGTTAAGCTTCTAAACTTCTCAAGTTGACATAATCAATCAACCACTACACTGGGGGTGAGGCCTGGAAGGGGTGTCTCCCTCTCCAGTTTCCCCGTGCTCTCTCTGCTTCCTGGTCTCCATGAGGTGAGCCGCTTTCCTCCACCATGCCCGTCGGCCATGATGCTTCTTCTTTGGATCCCTGGACTGAAACATGAACAAACATGAACTTCTCCTTTAGGTTGTGGGTGTCAGGTACTACGTCACACCCATGAGAAAGTGACTAAGACAAGGGAATAATTAAAGATGGGAATTTGGCATAAGTGGGATTGCAGGATTCCTGCTTATGGAATAAACAGTATCCTTGCCTCTTTGTTCTACTATGCACGTCACTCCAGTTCCAAGTGGAACCAGACCTGGGCTCATTCACTCTCGAATTCAGAGGGACTGAGACAGGAAACATGCAGACCCACACTGGAGGCTCTGAGGGGTAGGCATGAATGTCATATTTGGTATACACAGTTGGGGAAGACAGGAAAAGTTGATGACTTCACATAAGAAATCCAGTGACGTTTGTAGCAGGCTGGTATCATCAGGCTCTCAGAACACCTCAGGCACATTTTCTCAGTGGAGTCTTTCACAAACATTAAAATAATTACTACAAAACCTAGTGCATGAAGAAATTTTGATATTATGATACCAAAACAAGTAACTATTGCATTATAGCAATAATGTAAAATGTGACAGCTAGAGCGATACACAGAAAAATAGAAATAGAGTGGAATTATGGGAGACTTTCCTTTTGATTACATTCGTGCTTCTATAATATTTATACAACAGTATTTTTAAATCCTGCTGAAATACTCTTCAAAATGAGTAGATTTTGTAAAATTTAGTTTTTACCTGAGTTACTTAATGGTCCACTACTTTCTTCCTAGACCTGAGTACCACACGTTAATGTTGACCAGTCATTCAAATAAGCAAAAATGTTCATTTGCAGAATGAAATCTTTAGGCCAAAATTTAAAAGTAGCCTGGACTCAGCTAATTTATGTAACGAGATCAGACCTCCCGAATGGCACGGGACTCCTGCAGACCCGGCTACGTTTCGACACAGGTTGTGAGAACAGTCCCTTGAAAGCAGGAAATTCCAGCGCTACGCTTGCCGCTCAGGAACTGTGGCTGTTTGACTCTAACCCACAGCGCTACGAAGGTTCTGTCCTGCGGGATGAGTTGCCCGCAGCAGCACACGGGAGACAGGCCTCGGCCCCACATGACGCCCTCACCCTGAGAGGACTTCCTGGGACGGCCCCCACCAGACAGCCAGCAGACGAGCGCTGAGCGGAGCTTCGGGACCTAAGTGAAGACCCTGTCCTTTCATGTGGCTCAGGAGCCTAAACACTGAGCACAGGGCGTCTGCAGGAGGCTGAGCCCACGCACGCTGGCCGGGAACCTACAGCTGTGAGTGCCGCCTTGACCGGGAGGCCGCCTGGAGCCTGGGTAGCTAGGGCCTGAGTCTGCAGAGGCCAGAGGCGCAGAAGGCCACCTGATTCTGGGCAGCCTGGAGTCCAGGCCTGGGTGCCTTCCTGGTCCTAGGTTTTCCCAGGGCAGGACCAGCACTGGAGTCCAAGGCCTCACGGGTGCTCCCTCCACTCTCCTCCATGTGGAGAGCAAGGCAGGACACCGGGGCTGCCCAGCTGCAGTTGATTTTCCTGCAAGGGGACAAGCACTGGGAAACCCAACAGTGTTACTAAACGAACTCTCTCCTTTCTTGCTTTGCGAAATCTCAGTCCCATTCTACGCTGTCCCAGTTCTGCAGTCCCCTCAGTGAAGGGTTCAAACTGAAATAGCCTATGTGAGACTTCTAGTCTACTTTACGGAAAACCGTAAGAGGAAGAGACTGCGAGGCTCTCCAGCTGAGAGCCAGCCTGCTGGCTTGGCTTGTCCACCATAGACAGTGAGGTCCCCATCTCGAGGAGGGCCTCTTTCTGCAGTTCCCGGGAAACACGACCTGTGTCAACACTGAGGACGGAGGAAGAGCGAGAGGGTAAGAAAGAAGTGGACCAAGAGAGATGGGGAGAGGACACTGGCGACAGCCGCCTTGTGCCTTCCCGGTGCTGCTTCAGGCTGGCCCCAAACACAGTGTCTTGAATGAGTCCTGCACGCCGTTCTTGCTCTGTGTCCCTGGGGGATCTGATGTCCCTGCTGTGCTGCCTCCCAGCCAGCCAAGCTCTGTCACAGTCCTAAATTATGAGCCACGGTGACATCCACCAATAAAGGAAGGTTCATCTTGTTCCTAGTGGAAAAGGATCATATTGTATGATCCGGACATGACTGAGGGGAAAAATAAATTTGGAATGCATCGATAAACAGCAGCGGCTTCTCCCTCGGGTCTCTCTCAGAGAACGCTGCTCCTGTCGTGGGAAACACGGTCATCCAGAGCCTCTCAGGTTCTCTGCCTGGCAGGCAGGGTGCAGCACAGGCTGCGGCACCACCACCTCCGTCGGCAGGCAGAGGTGCGCTCGGAGCCTGCTGGCCCCAGGTGGCCCGAGCGAGGAGGCCCCACGTCTGCCAGTGTTGAGAAATTGGCCTTCGGTGCCCGGGAGACTGGGTGCTCCCTTCCTTGACCCTCAGGCCTTCGTGCTTAAATCTGAGTGAGGGAAGATGCTCCCCGAGTCACTTCGAACTTGACAGAAAGGGCAGCAGTTGAAGTTCATTATGAGTCCTGTTAGGGAGGCACTCCCCCTACCCCGTTAGTTACAGTCACACCTCGGTCCTCCTCCAGCATTCGTCCCAGAATTCATAACCAGCAAGTACCGACTGAATTTGCCCATAAGAGGCGTCCTCAGAAACAATTCACAAACGTTCCCCAGAAGGCTCTTACTTCGCTGGCCTGACATTAGCCTCTCATGGGGCAAATATAAGCGCTTCAGGCTTGACGGAGCCCCTCCTATCCTAAGCTTTCTGCAGCCCATAATTAGCACTAACAACGCATACAAGTGCAAGATGGTGACGGGAATACGGTCGGCCGGGGGGGAGTTCTGCGCTGTCCCCCAACTACACTTTCCTCGTCAGAACGCGACAAGGGCCAGGCTTGACGCCCCTGGGAATCACTGTTTTGTTCGCCATCTCTTTATATTCCAATATGTTTAGAACCCACACGTGAGTAAGATCATGCAGTATTTTCTTTCTGTGCCTGGCCTGTCTCGCTGGGGATAATATTTTCCAGGCTTGTCCACCTTGTGGCAAATGGCGAGATCCACTCTTTCTCAGGGGCAAGTGATACTCCGTTGTGTGGATTTAGACAGTTTTGCATTGGTTTGTCCACTGCTGGACGCGTAGGTTTTCCCACACCTTGGCTGTAGCGGCCGGGCCGCAGGGCACGGGGTGTGGGTGTCCGCGTGGGGTGCGGATGTGACCTCCTACCCCCGGGGATGTGACCAGGAGAGCCAGCGCGGTCATGCGGTAGCTCTGCTCCTCCCTTTCTTTGGGAACCTCTGTAACGGCCGTTTTCAGCCTCTGCCTTCGCCTTGGCTGCGGGACCCTCGGTCACACCCTCCATCGGCCCCTCCTCTCCGCCCTCCATCAGCACCGTCGTTCTGTGCCTTTTGATAACGGTTAGATCCTCCTTAACCCGAGCTGAGGGGCTGCCTTCTGGAGCCACTTGTTTGCCAACTGCTGCTTCAAAAGGGAAGAATCCACTCTGCCAGACGCAAGCGCTGGCGGAGACCAGCGTTGGAGACACAGCCGCTGGCTGCCGTGGAAGCCCGGGGCCCAGAGCCCAGCCTGTGACCGCAAGGCCGCTCACACCGCCTGCCCGGGTCCTTCCCGGCAGTGGGCAGCCAGGCGGACGAGGCAGCAGCACAAGCCAGCGCTCAGATTTCGAGGTTCTCACTGTGTGCAAAAATGCCTAAGCAGGGTTGCAAAAAGGTTGGCAAATTTCTAACAGTTACATTTAACAAGTTGCTGCTTTAAAAACCCACGTGTATATAAAACACAAAAATAATTACAGAACTGATGAAACTGTTAAATCCAGGGACACAGGTTAAGCGGGGTGAGGGGTGTCCCTTCCCTCCAGTCGGGCGGGGCGGGGGGCTCCAGGCAGGCACTCCCGCCCCCACAGGAGACCCCAGTCCTCGAGGTCTCCTGGCTTCCCTGTGCAGGGTGCTGCCCCTGCCCGCCAAGGTTGGCCCCCAGATTCTTTCCTTAACTCGAAGCCCAGCACAGCGCCTGCTCCCACGTACTGCGAAGTCATCAAGGAGGCAAGGAGACGATTCGCGAGCAACCAAAGGGAGTTCAGGATGTAAGCGGGCGCCCTGGCTCTGCGCAGTACCGCCCAAGTCATCTGCGCTCAGTTCCCTGTTTACGGCTGAGGGGAGCTGTCTCCCGAGACCTCAGCGATCCTGAGCCTGTTCTCAGGCGGTGTCCGGGGCGGGTGGGACCGCAGAACCCAGAGCGGAGCCCAGCGGGGGAGGCCGGGCTGCACCGCGGACAGCAGTGTCCGCCTCCCTCCCAGAGCCGGCAGGACCGGAGCAGCAGGGCGGGCTCCGTGCAAGGGCCCCGGGGAGAGCAGGGAACCTGCGCCGGTGTCAGGGAAACCGAGGCCGGAGGCTGTTTCTGAAGTGTGTCCTGAGGGACATTTTCCGTGTTTTGTGCTTCAGTCGAACGCCCCTGGCCAGCCACGGGGTCTTTATGTCCTAGAGCATTCGGGATGGGTCACAGGAATGCCCCTGAGTGTTCCCAAGGACAAAGCTGGCAGAGCCAACTCCTCTGTCACGGCGGCTGGGTACCGGCAGGCCGGAAGGCTTTGTTGGCTTTCGGGGACAGACGGGCACCCTCAGCCCTGGGAGCACGCAGAAGAGGTAGAGCAGGAGCAGCCAGTGCGGCCACACACACGCACACACACACACACACACACACATGCGCACACGCACACACATGTGCACACGCTCACCGCACACGTGTGCGCCTAGGCAGCGACAGACGCCCGCTGGAGGCCCCTGCAGAAGCAGCGAGGTGGAGCGGCCTCGCTCCAGGTCCTGGGCGCCTGCGCTTCGGGCAGGGATTCCGCTCCCCCCGACGCGCCATGGGGCGGGAAGGGACTGGTTTGTTTCCGTTTTGTTTCTTTTTTTTTCCAATCGGATTTTATTGGTACATTTTCGATACGCACGATGATCGCACTCACCGTAGGGAATTTGTACCTGCGCATGCTATAGCTCGCTGCTTCTTCTTCCCCATCCGCTCCCCTTCCTTCACCCCTCTTCTCCTCCCCATTTACAAAGGTTTTGTTTCCACTTTTTTCTCTCTTTTTTTTTTTTACTGTTCCCTTCCTGCCTTTCCCCGTCCCCTCTCCCTTGTGGGTCAGGTTTGAAATGGACTTTCAATAACATGGAAAAGTCTGTGAGCTGTTGTCTTGTTTTGGGGTTTTTTTTCCCAATTAGTATTACCAGCTTTCTTTTAAAAATCTAACTCCAAACTTTGATTTTTATAGAGAAATGCAAAGAATTAATGAAGAAATAAAACTCTTAAGACAGCAACAGCAACGAATAAACAAGGAGGTTGGCAGGTTTGTTTCCTATTTGGTTTGGGAGCGCTTGAAAACATTGTTAAATGTGTTACACAAATCACGCTGGGTTTGCTATGTCAAAACACATCCCCTAGCCCGTCTGTAAAGAGGGTTTCGATTAACAGTTCACCAGGGTTACACCTTACATTTTTTAATCCAAAACATCACCTACCCCACTAATTAGCTGCTGAGCATTGCTATATCTAATTTTACTCCTCCAGCCACAAGTAAGCTCGAGGCCTTTGCAAAACCCATAATGATGCCTGCCCAGGAAAGAAGTAAACTAGAAAAACAGCCCACTCGGCCGCCTCCCTTGAGCTGTGTCCACACCCCCGCCTGGCCCCGCCGCCCCCTTGGGCTATGTCCACAGCGGCTCCTGGCCCCGCCGCCTCCCTGGTACACCCCATATTTGTCCCCAGGAACACTGGGCTCGTTTAATTGTTTATTTTATAAATTGGACTATAAAATGGGAAACTGTAAAGCGCTGAGATTCACCCACTTCCCGCACTTCCGCATGCAGGGAGCAGGCATCAGATGAACGCGGCCTCAGACAGGGCCCCGGGGGACACGGCGGGGCCAGCCACACGGCCACACCCGACAGCTCTGGGATCTAACCAGGCGCCACATGTCACAAGTCTCTCACTTCCCGGCACAGGAGGAAGGCCCACCCAACACTTCAGAATCTTACCTCAGCCTGTACCACAAGCCTCATCACCCTACCCCTAAATCATAAGGTCCGATTCCAGGCGACTTCTAGAAGTTTCCAATACTCCGGTCCGCCTAGGCCAAAGTTTCCCACCGCTGAGCATGTGCGGAAGACTGCAGGGAGTGCTGCCGTCTCCAAGGGCTCTCACAGTGACACACGGGAGCCTGAAGGGGACGAGCTCATCGCACACATGCACACATAAACCCCAGGGGGCTGTGAAATGGTAGGCCCCACACTTTAGCTCCCTCTGCCATCTTCCAAAAAGACACAGTGATTGTGACGACACCACAGGGCTTTGTGAACACCCTAACCCCTGAACGCACACGTGAGAAGGGTGAGTGTGCCCTGCATCTCAAAAACATTATTGACGGGGGGGGGGGGGGCACTAAAAGAGCTAGTTGGAAAATGGGTCGATTTAACAAGATGAGACGAAGCTGAATCTGAGCAGCGTGTGGGCGTCCAGGAGGCTGGAAGAGGCGCTGCTGAGAAAGGACAGCAGGCTGCGGGCCAGTGGGCTTAGACAGTGACAGACGAGAGGGGAACAGACAGGAGACCCACAGGGCGGGGAGCCGGCAGCAAGCCCTGGCGGAGGGGGTGCAGGGGCAGAGGGGCCATGAGCGCCGGCTCCCGTCGGCCACAGAGCACCGAGTCCGCGTGGGCACCTTGGGGTCCCTGGGCTAAATGCTGAGCAAACCCAGAAGGGGTCTCGGCAGAGCTGAGCTCATCCAGACTTCTGCCTCAGCAAGGGCTATTCGGCATCCCCCGAAAACTGTCCTTTCTACGAGCTTCCCGGAAGAGAATCTGTCAGCGTTTCCCAAACCCATAGCGTCGTGCGCCCTCTCTGCCTTTGCTTCCCTCACCCGTGTCTCTCACCAGCGCTGCACCCGTCCCAAGCCCTCCCGCTGCCTTGCCTCGACTCCCACCCACCCTCAGCCTCGGATCTCCGGAGAGGTTCCTGCTGCCCCTGGATCCAACTCCCTCATAGACATGTCTCCCATGAGGACTTGGACAGGAACCAGAACAGACTCCTGGACCCCTCACCTTGATGCCCTCGGCCGAGCAAGCGCCCTCGCCCTAAATTAGCCTCCTCCTCCGGCTCCTCTTCCCTCCCCCGCGCCTCCCCCTCGCTGGTCTTCTCTTCTCCTCCCACCATCACGGCTCAGTGTCCACGCCAGCCCTCGTGGGTGGGATCGCTTAAACTGATGCTTGGGTGTGGACCATGTAGCCAAAGAGTGCGCCCCACTGCTGGGCTGGGTCCATGGTGGGCAGAGCTGAGTCCCTGAGTGCCTGGGTTTACACCGCCCACTCGCAGCTGCATGAATGACCGAGCCTGCTCGCTGATAAAGTAGGGAAAAAGTAGTTCCTACACCTAAGGTTGCTGTGAGGGTAACTGAACTGGTACATACAATGTGTTACCAAGCGCACGGCATGTTAAACTCTTCGTAAATGTTAGTTGCTCAGTGACATAAGGACAATGAATTTGATTACCGACTTTCTCTATTCCATGGTTAGACTCCAAATAAAGGCTACCAAGAAGCCTTTTGAAGTTGAGAATGAGTTCGAGAAGTTCCTGCATAAACTGGTATGTTTCCCCCCTGAAAACTGAGAATTCCTCTCTAGCTTCCAATATATGCCTGGCAATATTTCATCTGTGACACATGGCCTCACCCAAGTCCCCGCCTGCACATTAAGGTAATCTCTGCTTTACATCTTCAGGGACAACTTCCCGCTCACCTGCTCCGCTCCTCGCTTCTGGCCAGGGACCGTTTATGCAACTGAGGACCTCAGATGTGCGGTCTGAATGGCAAATGAGTAGAAAATTTCAGATGACTGAACTTGTGTTTTCCTTCCCACCAGTAATTCAGCAGAGGCATGTCAGGGGTAGCAGCTGGGGCAGAGGAGCGGTCACTGCCCCCAGGGAGCAGCAGCACGGGGCGGAATGTGACAAGGCTCCGGGCAGGACTCAGTGAGAAGCAAAGAGGGAGTCTTCTGTTAAATACACTGCTCTTTACTCCCACAAAGAAGTACTTTCTCCCACTGTCCTTGGTCTGCCTTTCCTACTACCGAGGAAGAGCTGGACACAGATACTAAATGTGAGAACCCGCCACAGTGCACACGTGCTCGCGAACCTTGAGGGCTGAGTTCTGAGCTGTGCATGCTAAGTGGCAGGGTCTGAGTCCCAGGGACCTGCTGGGGCTATGGGAACAGCGGCACCCGGGGCCAGGCTCACAGGGCGGGAGACCACCTCAGCTCTCACTGCCGGCTGTGCTGCAGGACTGCAGGCCCCAGCGCCATCACAGTCCCTGGAAGATCTCCAGACCGAGCCCCAAGTGCCGTAAACATTGCAGGCCGCACCGAATGCACCTGCAAGCAGACCGGGCCGGGCGATGCCCGCCTGTAAACCAGGTCTGAACGCTGCTGGACTTCCAGGCAGGCGCTTATGCCACTGAGCTATATCCCCTCTGCTGGAATTCCAAAGCAGGCTCCGGCCAGCCAGGTTGGAATCTGTGCTCTGCAGCGCAGACCTCCCTCCATGGAACCCTCCACAGGGCCGGCTGCAGATCCAGCGCGCTCACCCCACTTGGCCCTGTGTGTTCTCCCTGCTTCCAAACCACCCACCCTTCAGGGCTCTGCTCAAGCTCCACTTTCTGCAGGAAGCTTTCTTCCATTGCCCTAGCCCTGTCCTTTCAGACACTTTTGATATCTCTCATAGTTCTGAGTAATGGTGGGGCTGAAACATTGTTCTTCTTTCCAAGTCAGAAATCAAAATGAACAGAGGAGAGTCCTAGCTTAAAATGCGCTGGGGATGGAACCCAGGGCCAGCGCACAGGCTGGACAAGTGCTCTATCCCAAGCTACATCCCCAGCCCTTTACTTTAGTTTTCTTTACTTTTCTTTACTTTAGTTAGAGGCAGGGTCTCACTCCGTTAACTAGCCGGGCCTTGAACATGCAAGCCTCCTGCATCAGCCTCCCAAGTTGCCGAGACTGCAGGAGTGTGCTTGCAAATGTTTAGTCACATTGCTACACGTGGAAAAGGAATTGCGTGGTGAAAACCAAATGAAGTAACACAGCAGCAGTAAGTGCCACTTTATAACGCTGCAGGCGTCTCTCAGGAATTCTACGCCAACTACAAATCCTTTGTGGAAAATGGCACAATATTAAAAAACAAAGGATTATAAATTTAAATAATTCACATCTTGGATTACTGGGTTTAAAGACTGAAAATACTTTCAACAAGCTGGTAGTACACTGTCCCAGGTGTCGGCCTTTGTGCTGGAATGAAAGCACACCAGAAGCTGTTGAGATTAGATTTTCGGCTTCCTGGCACAACAGTTGCTCTTTATGAAATATTACAAGCACCTCTGCCTGGGCCTCTCTGCAGCTGAGGTTTAGAGGATGAGCCCAATCTGAGTTGCACATTAATGAGTGAACACAGTCACAGAAAACAGAAAACTGTAACAATATTCTAGATAATCCGGATCACAAACCCACTGCTGTCTCTGTTACTTGGGTATTTCGGCCAAGCACCAACACATTTTGGCTAAATCATCACGTAACTGAGGAAGGGTGTCCTGTAGCATGTCCCCAAGAGAAAACCACTCGTTCACCACCACCACGCGGCTGACTTCTTCGCCGCTCAGGTGCCCACCAACACCACGACCAAGCCGAGTCCACGTCGAACTTTTCACAGCCACATTCACCCACGCACCTGCACACCGACCCCCCACCGGTCCCCGTACACAAACAAGCCTTGCTACACACAGAAAAGGGGTGTAGGGTGTGGGTGCGGGTTCCCAGAACAGGACTGGAGAGGCGTTTGGGGATGGGATAGAGTGGGAAGAAAATCAGTTCCATCAACAAACTAAATTTTCTGGCTCGTGATCACGTTAATTCCTTGTTCCTCTGTTAAGTGATAGATCCAAAAGAATGGAAAAATGGTACCACGTGTTGTTTTTAAAAGCTTTGAATGAGCCTTGAGTTTTCTTCCTAAATCTATCCATTAAAAAGGTGGTTCTTAGCATCTTGGTAGCTGAGGAATCGATTAACTACTTTAAGCATCTGATAGCAAAGAAAACCTGTGAATCCGTAATCATGTATTGTTTTCGCAGCACACCAAGGCTCAGAAGCACAGAGAATTGGTGACGTCAGCAGCATCGTCATCACCAGCAGCCACAGCGGACTGCAAGTGGGAGGAGGAAGGACGTGAAGGGAAACCAAAGGCCAGCTCCATTCCGAATAACGTGGACGACTCGATGGTATCCTTTTAACTGTGGCACTGTGTTTAATTCAAGTCCAGTCTAGGTATTAGTGTGTTTTACCATTCATCTTAAAATCCCAAACCAATAAATCTTAGTAAATCATCTGTCCAAGCTTAACCTTGGCTCATATTGGTTTAAAAAACAAAAACATACTTTAAGACGGAAAAAATAATCATTATAAAGCATAGAGGGCTTTCAACCATTTTTGGAAATGCATCTTGATAATAGCAAGCATTCATCATAATATAAAACAGAGAGAGGATTAATTTACTGCGGCATAGGCAGTCCTGCCAGTTCCTAAATGCCCTGAATAGTTTCTCAGAGATTTTTGACATTGTTCAGGCGTCCAGGAAAACCAGAGCCCCGCCTCCAGGCTTGGTTGCGAACAGGCTGTGCTGCCCGGGCGCCGCACCGCGCCCGCTCCTCTGGTAGTAGGCTTCGCGCACCCGGGCCAGGAAGGCGGGCAGCACGTCCGCTGGCACCAGGGACACTGTGCAGCCACCCCAGCCCGCACCGGTGAGCCGCGAGCCCTGTGCCCCGGACCTCCTGCAAAGGGAAAGGGAGAGATTAGCACAGATGACAGCGAGAGTGGTTGCTCGCTGCTTAGAGAACACGCAGCCTGTCGTAGCTGAGACAGTGTCGGGGTTGGGGGCTCTGTCGGACAGGTGAGGCCATTAACAAGTGTGCACTGACCAGAACGTGATTTTGAACTTCTTCGCTGCATCTAACGCTAGTCCCCAGTTTCAATTCTAAGTGGCAATGGTCAGCAGCAGCCCTGTGTCAGGGGCCCTGGCAATAAATGGCATCTTAGTCCCCAGCACGGCCCCTGGAGGACTGTGTACCGGCCAGCAGGAAGCCAGCAAGAGGGGTAAAAGGAAGCCGGGCCGGGGGCTCGGCTGGCACCGGGGAGCTAAGGTCACAGTCACTCGGGCGCTGCCCGGCATGGAGGGCTTCCTCAGCGCTGCTCAGCTGCATCTGAAGGTTAGCTGGGTCACACAGAGGAACCGGACTTGGGGCTGGGGGGCAGCCAGCCGTACAGCCGTACAGCACTTGCCCAGCGATCGAGGGGCCGTGGGTTCTGGCCCCAGCATGGCAAGAAAGAACTGATCGCCTAGGTTTGCTCTGAAAAACTTAATCAGCTCACAACTTGTTACTAAACTCTAGGCCAGTGGGTTGGCTTAAGCCCTAGGGGAAAATAATGGAGACCTTCCCTGTACCTTCTCGAGGTGATCAACAACTGACTCAGTTTGCCACAAGGAGAGGTGTCCAGTTATGGATGGAGCTCATTTCCGTCACCATCCTCCAGGCACAGTTTCAAACCTCAGAGCCGAGGCCAAGGGAAACGCCCTACCCAGCGCGTCAGGACCCCTCAGTTTAAAAGGTGCGACTTACCTCAATAACAGAGGTTAACATATATTCCCAATTACCTCCTCCTAACAGAATGTACTCCAAACTAGCAGCAGATTAAAAACTGCATAATTAACTGAGTATAGTTTTGTTCCTTTTTTTCCCCCCCGAAAGGAGCAGTTTCACTTCCTAGAAAATATAATAAAACATTACCCCTGCTCTAGGACTCGCTTCCCCCTCTCTGATATTTCTGCTTTTTTTCATCATTTGTCTTATTTATGAAAATATGCCACTCACATGAAAATAGATCCTTAAGGAAAGAAAAAAAATTCTTAGAAGGAAAGAAAGGTTCATAATCTCTTCCTGTCCCTCAAACATTCTGCATAGTAGCTGAACTGGGCCCAAACTGCTGTCATCCATACTGAAAAGCTCTGACCCTGGCATTCTGGAATTATTCTGAGTTCTTAGCCTGGAAGAGAGTTTGTTTAAGTTTGTTGATTGAAGAAAAAAAGTTGTTCTATGTAGTCACATCAAACACTATCTCCCAGAGTGGAAAATGCGTGGAGAAACTGAGATGTCCCTGAACTATCTCTAAAAGACCCTAAAATCTGGGCATCAAGGACAGCTGTAACTTGGTCTGGAGAAAGACAAGGCACCCCCTTGGTTCCCTGAGACCCCGGCTGTGCCATTTTCCGGATGAAGCTTGCCCAGCCTTTGCTGGTCTTCTGTGACTTCTAGTCAAGCTGTCTTACACTGTGTCATTCGAGCAATTTTTGAAGGCTGTGGTTTCAAAACTGAACCTACAGCAAATGGAGGGCATTGTTTCTGGTCTGGCGGTAGGGCCCACAGCAATCAGGTCCAAAAGACTGATTTTCCCCAGAGCCCTCCAGTTGCCAGGGAGCCAAAGCCAGACGTCTTTCAGGGTAAAGATCAGCCCGTCCCCCACTGCCTGCTGCAGAGGAAAGCTCATGGGAGCGCGAATCCCCACACGCAGCCCACGCACTGTGGTCCTAACCTGCGGCTGCCTGGGCCACACACACGCAGGCGGAGCGGGGCCTGAGTCGCGGAAACTCCCAAGAGGTGGAAAGTTAAGCGGCTCAGCCCAGCCTGCGTCAGGAAAGCAACGCAGGTGATACGGGTGTGCGCCAAACTTTCCGTGCCTGAAATCTGTTCTGGGTGAAGGGCACGATGCTAGAAATATACTCGTGAGCCCTGGTGCGTCCGAGAGACAGTGCAAGATGCCCTGGGGTCCCGAACACCACGCGCGAGCCTGTGCGCCTGCGGTGGGGATGGGGACGAGGTGGGAGGATGCGTCCGCAGGCACAGGAGCAGCCCCTGCCTTATGCAGCCAGGGTGGACGAAGGACAAAAGCCATCAGGAACTCCCTTCGGTCCTTTCTCACCAAAGTATTCAGGAACTAACTGCCTGAGCACTAAGAGAGAGAGAGAGACAGAGAGAGAGATCCCGTCCGAAAGGTCCTGCTCTTGAGCGAGTTAACTGACTGGCAGTAAAGATGCCAGAGACGCAGGGTGGTAGAGAGGGGAGGAGCAGACCCAGGAAGACCCCACTGTGAACAAGCCCGGAAGAGCAAGGGGCGGAGCCCTGTGTTCCGTTTCAGTGCAATTTCATTTACTTCAAAATATTACAGGAATGGCTATTACACTGCTCCAGGAGGCTCTGGATTTAGGGACAGGTCAGATCCCTCTCTCTGCTCCAGCCCTGCACAATCCCAGGCATCTGGTTCTAACAAACAGCGACTGGACAATTATGTTTGTTTGAAAATGTAAAAATATATGTTATACAGAAATATAAGCAGGGGTAGTATACGCTTCACCTGAAAAGACTTCCGGTATTCTCTGGAACCTGGCGAGACTCTCAGAAAACAGCTCCTGGGACAGTTCCTACGGCTGTCACGGTCAGGGCGGAAGCACTGTGTTCAGATTGCGGGGATTCTAGAACCCACAGCACCCAAATATTGTTCGAACCAGAAATAATAAAAAATGCGCTTCCAGGTCCTCTTTAGGAGCGGAAGCCACCAAACACTGCTGAAGGGCAGCTGCTGTCGCCAAGCCTCAGCAAGTGGGAGCCAGGGAGTGGCCCCTGTAGCATCTCGATGGGACAGTCCCTCGGTCCCTCGGTCCCTCTTTCTCGCCAAGGGAGCAGAGCGGCACTTCCGGCACAGGAAGGAGCACAGCTACGGGCTGCCTCATCCTTTCCCGGGACCTCGTCCAGAGAAGGGGGCCAGGAGAACAGCGCCAAGAGAAGACCCGGGAAGAAGTCATCGCCAGCTGACTTCTGTGCCCGTAGCTGGCCCATGGAAATTGTTATTTGTCTTCCTTAATGGCTTGGGCAATAAGACAGCGATGAATCTTCTCTGCTTTCAACAAGTGTCAAAACAGAAAGAAAAAGCACGCACTTTTACTTAAGTAAATTTCAGGGAACCGGTAACAAATGAGTTGTCTCACATCTAATTGATTTGGTTTCAAAATTTTCTGTGGTCCTCAGTAAATCTTGGAAATTCAGTCATTTCTTTAAACTCACCTTGTGTTCAACTGAGAGACTTCATAATTGAGCAAACATCAGTTTTTCCCAATTATTTTGCTTCACATAAAATTTTAGCATTCATTTAGTTTAACAAGAAAACAAGCTGCCCAACTATGAAAGTAGTTTCCTCCTTGCTTCCTGGTCCCTGCTTGGGCTTCTGAACAGATTTTCGCTCGCAGAGCAGCCAGGTCATCCCCTCATCCCCACTGCTCTTCTCGGTCTCTACTGTCCTGGGCCCTCCAGGGTTTCGGGTCCTTCGTCCTCTCACTCACGGGGTTATCTTTCCAGACAAACAGCTTCTGAGAAGGCTTGGGAGCCAACCTGAAGCTTGAGATGCCGCCCTGGAGCAGGGAGGTGGGCAGCATAGCCTTGGCTGCGCTCCTCCTGGAGCCCATGTCACTGTCCTCCTTGGTCTGCTGTCTCCCAAGGGAACCAACCTGCTCTGCTGCCCAGCCTCGGGCCCACCGTCTCCTTTGCGTCCACGTCTCTCAGCGTGGGAGGCAGGTCTGGAGGTGGTGTTGTTCCCAACAAAACAACACCACACCAGAGGTCGAGGTCTCGCACCAGGGAGCCACACCAGGCCAGACTAGGGCGCTGCCAGCACACCGAGCTCCTCCTCCTGCCCACCGAGAGATGCTCCTCCTCCCTGCGGTCCTTCACAGCCTTCTAAACACATCCTTCTTGCCTTTTCACTTTTCAAACATCCACACAAAAGACGGCACCACCGCTCTTGACCGTGCAGATGAGACCTCAGTTTCACGTGGCCCACGGCTGTCCACAGGAGAGCCACGCAGAAGGCATTTGCTCTCTGCCCTGGAGGCTGCGGTCCTGAGCATGCTGGGTGGGGCAGAGCACTGCAGGTATTAAGGGCTGCCTGGGTGACAGCAAAGGAAACGTGAAGGGCGTGTGAAGCTTAAGAACCAGGGAACCTTTCTGGCCAACAGCTTGTAACTTGCCAGAAGAGAACCTTCCAGCCTGGGAAACTCCACAATGTGGCGACGGGCTAGTGCAAATTCCCCGTGAGACGTAGCCCTGGCTTCCCGAACAGAACCAGCACAGCAAGGGGGCCGGAGCACCTTACACTGGACACCACGGGACTTTTCTCTGAAAATCAGCACCGCAGGTGAAAACGGTTGAGGCAGAAGCACTTTAGCTGCCATCAAGAAAGGACTTCCTCCAACAAAGAGGACTTAAAAATAAATAAAAGCGGCCTGCAGACCCCTTCAAAGCAGCCACAGAATCTTCACCAGACGCCATCTTCTGAAAGGCGCAGACCTGCGCGCACTAGGACAGAGCACACGGCAGGTCGCAGAGCTGGGACGCAGAGCAGAGCTGGGCTCTCTGCCCCGGTGCCCGCCCGGCCCGTGCACCCACCGTGCCACGGCCCCCGCCCCGCCGGGTTTGCCCAGCGTCCAAGCGCTGGGGATGATGACAGCGGAGGACTCCAACGTCAAGCGTCCAGGCCAGGAGGGACAGCTGGCGCTGAGTG